GTGTTTGGGGGGTGTGGGTGTGGGGGGTGGTGAGAACAAGTTTTCCCCTTCGCAGGGTTATTTGCGGAGACACCTGCACATGCCAGGGCAGCGCGGGTTGTTCTTGTGCCTAATGCACTAAGCCCCGTGCGGGGCAGCAGGGGCTGGGGACCGGGGCAGGAAGGGGTCAGCTCTTCTCTGCTGTCCTGTTCCTCCCCAGACATGCAGCTCCCACCCCTTGGCTTGCTGCGCTGCGGCTGCCAACACTGCTGCTTTGTTCCCGTGGCGTCCCCGCCTCTGCATGGCTGCGGGGATCAGCCCAGCCACCAGCACCCCCTGGCCCCTCTCCTGGCAGCGCCCACCAGGATGGCGAGGAAGCGACCCTGGCTTTCATCCTGCAAGGCCATTAATATTCTCTAGCTGGAGCCACGAATCTTGTGGGCTTTGAAATATAGCGATTATTTTCACTCATGTGGGTGTTGGGTTTTATCGTGCTCAGTGCTTGCCCCCTTGCTATCTCTGCCATGCCTCTTCAGGGTGAAGACGAGGGTCATCTCCAGATGTTTTCCTCTTGTCTGTGTGTCTGCGTCTGTCCTGTCTCTGTCCCTCCCTGCCTTTTTTAACCCCCTTTGGCCAGAGCATGAATCTTTTGCAGCAGCTTTGCAATAGCCCTGGGGTGCCTGGTCACAGGAGAGTAAAAAATCACCAGTAGCATCCTGCCATGGAACAAGGGCAAATAAATGGGAATGAAAGCAGCATGGGGTGCATATTTCAGCTCAGGGACAGCAGACTCGCTGCTCTCGGAGTGCTCCCTTCTCCTCTGTGTCCCAGTCTCTGCTCTGCTGGGCCAGCTGGATGGCTGCAGCTGGGATGCCTGGAGCTGCTCGGTGCCATCCCTGGTTGCTCCTCTGCCCCGTGCTCGGCATGAGCTGGCACTGGGTTGTAGAACAGTCACGTTGTGCTGGCCCATTCTGCCTGCTCCTGCTTTTGCCCTCGTTGGACTCATTTTTTGCTCTAGTGAGAGTCACTTCCGCAGGGCAGAGACAGACCCAAGCTGAGCACTGGGGGGGTGGGTACCATGGCAGACGTGCCAGGGGAACCCCAGGAGCCATTGGAGATACTCCATTGACTTCTTGCATGACCTCTGCACCTGCTTTTCTTTGCAATGGCTGCTCACACATCCTCAACACACCAACCAGTCACCAACAGGGATGGGCAGGCCCATGACCTGGTGCCATTTCAGTCTGTATCTCAGTGGTGACTTCCAAGTCACCAGCCCAAGAAATCTGGAGCACCTCTCCTATGAATACAGGCTGAGAGGACTGGGGGTGTTCAATCTGGAGAAGGATCAGGGGCTTGAAGCAGCTATACATTAAACACTAGGAAAAAGTTCTTCCCTGTGAGGGTGGTGAGACACTGGAACAGGTTGCCCAGAGAAGCTGTGGCTGCCCCAGCCCCCGCAAGGTG